GTGGACCAGGATCCGAACAAACTCGCACAGACCGGCTTTGAAACGCTTAAACTGAGGACCGGGGGTGATCAGTGGGTAGTTCACAGAATCCTGGCCAACGACGAGAACAAACCACAAACCAATCAGCTGCAGACAAATGAAACATCTAATATTCTGCAATCTGTTTTGTATATTAATATGGAGCCTGTGGTTTATTCTGCTAATGACAAAAACAGTGATGATTAACTAATTAATGAGTTCATTTATCAACATTAGATTGTAATTAGCTTTTTCCAAACACGCTGTGTGCCATCTTTTGGATCAAAATCTCATGGGACAGAGAGATGACTAGATTTCTGAATCTAATTCCAGCTTCAATTAAACAGAGAAGGTAGAAAAAGATTCACTTGCAAAGATGTATAAACAGATTTGGCTAAACATCAACAGTAAAACTAACACATAAACCGAGCATTTGTTTTCCTTCTTACCTCATTGAACTCCTTTGTTAGTGTGCTGATAATTTCAGCATTTTCCATACTGTCATACATCTCTCTGCTCACCACACCTGAGCAAAAAGGTCTACATTAGAATCTACAAAAAATCCATAACTACAAGATACATTTCAGAACATTCATTTTCATGTTCCCGTAGCTTAAATCTAATCTTGTCAACGTCACAGAGATCAATACCACAAATGACAACCTGAGCTGCAAATGGAGAAAAAAATCTCTATAACTGTGACCCCCCGCCTCCCCCCAACATAGAAACTAGCATCTCCCTGGCCTCCCATTTAACCTCTGACCTTTGCATCCACAGGACTGAACAATGAAGTTGATGAGCACCAGCAAGCCTTCCTCTCGGCTCTGTTTGTAGCTGCACAACCACTCCTCCACCACCGTCTTTGGATCGACAGGAAGCCGCACACACATCAAATCAGACAGAATTAATTTACAATAACAGCGTAGATTTCAGATTCAGTGTATCATTTTTTTTTTTTTTTTACTTATCTGTAACTTTATACATATATGTATCAAACTATTTACTTGGGTTCTATGCAGATTTAGTTCCTTTCTTTTTGCTATGTGAATCTAACCTGTTAGTCTTTACCCAGAACAGACAATAGCAGAACAATAGTGGGGATGGTCAATGTTGTCAATCATTGACTCTGTGACCCAACGAGATTCTCCCTCCCGCTTTGCTTATCAAAGCCAATTCTTTAAGGTCACATCAGTCAGCCACTGACAGCACATAATCACCTCTCTTTTTGTCAGCTTGTTTCACTTTCCATTACATATGTCTCCTTTAGCACTGCCCTCCCTTCATGTTGAAGTCCGTATCATTACCTTCCCCCCTCCTCAGTGAGCTTTTTGCTTCCTCACAACCTCGCACTCACCACCATGGCACTCTTTCCAGAGCACACAGCATCATAGATATCCTTCGCGCTGATCCCCTGGCTCTCCTCGCTCGTCACACGTCCAGAGGACAGCTTTCTGGATGTCCCTTGGGATGGCGATGGCTGCTGCTGGGAGGGGTCAGGAGGGTCTGGGATGGGGCTGCTACTGGTACTGGATGTCACTCTCAATGCAGCATTACGCCTGGGTCTCTTTGGTGGCTTTACATGAAAGAGAATTATTTATTAATATGTTGTGAACTGGGAGCAACTGTGTCCTATTCTAGGCATCTACAACAGCAAGAGTCCACAATTTTGACCTTTAATAGCAACTGAAAATGATCGCTCCATTGGGTAAATTAATAATAACAAACTCGAAACAAGAAACCTAAACAATTTTCACAATGTGAAAAGTCCTTACTTTTTCTCCATTCTAAATTTTTTATATCTCTTTGTTCTTTTTTTTAGCCAGTTTTTCAATAGAAACCTGACAGGACAAAAGGCAGGCACATTTTCAGGGATTGGAGCTTGAATACAAAACCTGCAGACAACCCAGATTGTAAGAAAATGAAGAGTTTGATGGGCAAATAATGATGGATTAATGGGTGAACAGAAAAAGGAAGTACAAATATGTTTCCATACTCTAATTTTACTTTTCCAGACTTATCCAGACCTGGAAAATAATATTAAATCCCTAATTCACTTTTCCAGACAGGGCAGGAACCATACATACCATTTCCCTGATAAACTTAACGAGGACTTAATTACTACAAAACAAAAAATAGTTACCTGGGGTGCAGGAAGTGACTGTTTACTTCGCTTTCTGGCTTTTGTCTGAGATTCATAGATGCTACCAGATTCTGAGGAAAGATCCAACTCTTCAAGACTAACCAAACAAAAAGACAGAATTAAGACAAATCAACAAAAAATAAAACACAATTAGTAATCCTATTAAGATTACTAATTTGTACGAATTGTACAAAAGCATTTATATTATAGAAGAATAGAAGATTTGAAGCATAGGTTCGGGTAATTTTACCTTTCTGAGCTTCCAGTTTCCATTTTAGCTGAAAGAGATTATGGATTGAATGGTTAGCATTTTTAAATATCATAAAACGGGAAATTGATCGTAGATAATAACAAAATCAGTAAATTTTTCGCGTTAAATGTTAAAATAAAAATCATACTGTATAAACTGTCAAGTTAACTCTTTACGACCTCAAACATCCAACAATATATAATATATTTTACAACTAGCCACAGAAAATCCAGCTCAATAGCGGAGCTAATTGCTAACAGAAGTATCGGTAAATGACGCTTTGAAAATGTAAAAATGTATAAGACACAATATTACTCACCACTACGCGGACAGCTACCAAAAACTTATAAGTACACACGACGTAAAAGTGGATAAGTTACAAAAATATATTTAGCTAAGCAATACCTTAATCTTAGATAACTTTTTTCTTCTCGCTATGCTGGCATGAAACTTCGCCGCGAACAGACTCTCGTTGCGGATTGGCCAGCGCTTTCTTATCTTGAGCCTGATTGGTCTGTCTGAAATGTCAGTTATTAGTTACTGGTAGGGTGCAGTAAAAATCTAGTTTAGTACAGCTTCCCATTACTGTATGTTAAACAAGGAATTTATTGGAAACTCGGATGTATCACGTGTCTTTGCAACTTGGCAGCTTATATCCTTATATTCACCATGGGCTCCATGTTTAATAATTTGGATTGTGATATCCTGTTCAGTTTTTAACACACCAAGGGAGATCTGGTGTTCAGATGCTGTGAATCCTAGATCCTCTAGATCCATTGTTCTGAAGTCATATAAGTGTCAAATAAGGTACGCTGACAAGCAGCTTCCGGTTTCAATTTCAAAATAAATCACCGGCATTTAAATTTAAATGCGTATAAAATTAAACCGAAGCCGGTTCTAAATATGGCGTCTATTGTTCATTTCTGCTTGCTACTTGATGTGCAACAATGAATATGTATAGCTACAGAAACAATATGTTGTGTCAAACTGTAGCAGACAGTTGCTTTATTTTAGCTCTGCTCAAATTAAGTGTCTTGCAACATAATATTATGCTTTTAACTTTCTCATTTTGTCAAGGTACAACCAATAACCTTGTGTATGCATTTCACTGGGATTTTATCTTTCTTACCAACATGCACAAAATATGAAAACTGTGGTTTGCATTGTTATTAGCCAACGTTACTAAGAAACCCCTGAATGCAATCCATTAAAACCCAAATGCCTGTAGAAGTTATTAAACAAGTACATTGAGTCCATGTTTGTGTACTTTAATCTCAGTATTAATTAATCTATTCTGCACATTAAACAGAGAGGCAGCAGGCCCATGCATACACTGGAGGTGATTTTCCTCAACAAGAATAGGGAAGATGGATGAAGCCAACACGGACCTCTCCTGAAAGAAAACCTAAAACATATTGAAGTCTTCCAGAAGGAAAACAAACCCTAAACATACAACCAGAGCTACAGTGTAATGCTTTAGATCAAATCATAATTGTGTGTTAAGATAATTTTTTGAATGTCCATAGATAAATCAAAGTCTATCATCTTGTCATAGATGATAGTCATAGATGATAGACTTGAAAAGTCTTGTCATAGACTTCACAAGACACATATCTCACATACACTCTCCATCCAATTTGAATCAAAGATTAGGTGTTTAAAGCTGCTAAGTAGCAAAACCAAAAAAACTTGGAGTCTTTGCAGGTTGCTCTACAAAGCCAAAATGATGTTGTACTTTGTATTGTTTTATCTCTTAAAAATGTTTGTGGTTGTGATGTGGAAAAAGACTGCATATTCAATCCAGAGGTGTAAAAGTACTTTTCAGAGTAGTTTTATTACACTATGCATTCTACTTTTGAGTTTTCACATTATAATGCCTGGTTACTCAACCACTTTAAGTAACTTCATTGAATGAAAACCGAAAATATTTTAACAAAAACACAGACCTATTGTGCATGATAATATGAGACATGCACTCAGGGTCTGTTGTGTTATTTTCTATCTCCTGAGCCATGTCGAGGTCAAGAAAATATAACAAACAGTGCATTGTTACTGGAAAGTTTTGACCTGTTCTAGTATGCACCAACTAATGTTTTAAGCTAAAAAAAAACACAATTTGGAAAATTGTTTACTTTGTAATTATGTCATTTGTATTATTACCATTATTGATCTGTGTGATTATATTTTAATATATTAAATCACATTAAAAGATTTGGACAATTATTTTGAAGGGAATTCCTTTTCCGGTCTCACCATGGTTAATTCCTGTGGGTTTGACAGCGGTGATGCGTCAAATGATGGTTAAGCAGCGCCAGGAGTTCCTCATTCATTCTCCTCTTGTGTTTACGCGCAGCGGCGGGTATCCCAGGAAAGGAAAAATAAAGGGGGACACCATGGAAACACAAGTGGTGTAAAAAAAAAAAATTCTAAAAAAAAATCCAGACCGGATGTTGATCAGGAGCACCATGCCTGCTTTAAAGGACTAATGATTTTGGATTTTGTCACTATTTTATACTTTTACCTATACATTCATTCTGCGGTCCACTTTGGTCTTATATAAACCCACCAGTCAGTCTACTGGGGTTTGCTTCATTTGATTTCGAGTCCCGCTGTGAGGATGGACACCCGGTTGCTGGTTTGGCTCTGCACCATCGCTGCCCTGTCGGGAACCCGGAGCCCCGCGGCTGCTGCGGGGAGAAGCTGCGCTGACACCCGGCAGGTGTACTCAGAGAAGGGGTACAGCACCAGCACCGCGCCTGTGACTCAGATCTCCGGTAAGACAACAGTCCCACTGCCTGCTTTGCTCAACTTGGGTGCAGCTTTCCCTAGCACGCCTTAGAATGAATAAAGTTGAATTTGTGTTCATGAAAGTCATATATATAACATGACTAAGCCTCATAATTACCCAAATAAAGTTAAAATTTGTGTAAAAAACATTTTATATGTTGGCTTTAAACTCAAGAGTTTTTTTTTTTCTTTAAATCATCAGAACGCGAAGAGGAGTTTTCCTCAAGAGACATAAAGCAATTCTGTTTAAAACAAATCACACCCGCCCCTTCCTCCCCTCTGCGCGGTTTAAATAGGATGATTAAGGGGATGAGCAAATTGCCAACACCGGTGCAACAAAGAACCTCGCCCCTAATTAGTCTTTACACTGGCCCACAGTTAAATCCATGCATACAGGCTACCTATACAGGCTCTGTTCACTGGAGGTAATCAGCAGGAAACGATGCAGATCTGATGTGGATTACAAGCATTTGCATTTGGGAATAATATAAAGTTTTGGCAGAGGGTAATAAGGAAATATGTTTTTAGATTAAAATAAAAAAAATAAAAATAAAAAACAGGGGGAAACGCTTCATTCACTGCTTTTTGAAGGTATAGCCTTATACATGTAAATTACTAGGAAATCGTCCCACACAGACACTGAGGTACTTTTATAATTAATGGTGGGTAAAAGTGTTTTCTTGCAGGGCATTTACTTCATGGCAAATCAACTCGGTGTAAAGCAACCGTAGAATTGATTGATTTTTGTGTGTTGGGCTTTCACTGCCTGAGTCTCTGCTGGCTGTCCCGTGGGCCAGGGGAGCAGATGGCCAGGAGAGAGAGAGAAAGAGAGAGGGTGAGGGATGAAGGGAGGCAGTTTAGAAATGGAAATACGGGGATGAGAATGGACTGATGGTGAGACACGCAGAGAACAAAAGAAACAGAGAGGCACGTCAGGCAGGGAGGATTTGGGATAGACACTTTCCAATGTATTAACAACCAAATATTCATGCCAGGTGTAATTATGCTGCATAAACAAAGATCTGTACCCTTTGAGCGTTGCGTTATCCCCACCTCCTCTTAGCTGTTGTTTGCACATGTTATTACTTAAAGGGAGATGATTGAACCTCAGTTGACAAAGAAAGAAAAATTGAATTTGAATAATTCATACAGATAAATTGCAATTTCCTTCCACAGCATTATCTTTAATTAGATTTCCCTATTAAATAGCCTATCAATGGCAAGTAGAGTCAACCTTTTCCCTAAACAAATTTACTTTTTTCTGACACCAGCAAGGTCATGTGGTTGTAATTACTAATGGAAAGCAGGAACATCTAATTTTATATCTCACTAATCTTTTTTCTTTAAATTAAAAGTAAACAAATAGACTTTTTCCTGACACCAGCAAGGTCACTACATGTAATTAAAGATGGAAAATGTATCATTTTCTGTTTTACTAATATTTTTTCTTTAAGCAAAGGTACACCAGTCCTCAAACCTTGTGCTCCTTCTGATGTTTTTGTTGTAGGTGAGCACCTGCGACTTTGTCCTCAGGATTATACCTGCTGCTCCAGTCAGATGGAGGAGACTCTGTCCCTTCAGAGCGAGAGGGACTTCTTGAAAGCCATCGAAGACAACAGCCAATTCCTCTTGACCACCTTCACACAGAGACACCGCCGATTTGATGGTGAGATTCGAATACAATATAATATCAAGTAATTTGAGGTTCTTCTGTTTTTATAATAGATTAGTAAGTTTAATTGTACCTTTAATGAAGAAAAAAGCCTCTTAAACGCAGGTTCCTGAGGGCATCCCAATTCAATTCATTTCAAAAATGCTTTATTAATCCCAAAGGGAAATTAAATGTTCTTGCAGCTCATTATCCAAGTTTCTTTAAAGTTGTATTAGAAGCTGGTGGCTGTATGTAGAGAGGATCTCCTGTAGCAGTCTGTATTACAGTGATACTGAAGAATCATCTGACTGAACACACTGTGCTGTTGCATAATAGTCTGATAAAGAGTCTGATTATTTTATAAAAAGTCCTTCTTTATATCAATCGCTAGAGGATCCAGTTTTTTTTTTTTTTAATATCATCAATCCTTTTTACTTCACTGGCTTTATATGAGTAAAATACAGTTTACTTTTTTTTAAAGTAAACTTTAAAAAATAAAGTTTACTTTATTTTTTATAAACTATTTTATATAGTTCCTATATGTATATAGGAACTATATTTTTCTTTGAATATATACTCATAATCTCACAACAACACTTAATGTCTACTCTGAAGTGGTCAAATATATTACATTTTATATCACAGGGATTTTATATCCCTGTGAAATGTAATGCCAAAAAGTAAAAAAAATTTATTTATTTACATTTAAACTATTTACCATTATACTACCTATCATATGCATTTTTAAAATTTTTGAACAAGTAGAAAACTTAGAAAAACATAGTTTTTATTTGTCTAGAAAACATTATCATGAAAATAAAAAAAAAAACCCACTATACCGTCTAGTTTGATGTAGTCTAATGTATTGCTCTATAAAAAAATCTATCACTAAGTATATAACATTTTAAATACCTTAGGATGTTTGTAGTAAGACTAATTATTTGTACACCTTTAAGTATGTTTAAATGTTTAAAGGTTTTTAAGTATGCTTAAGGTCTTAAATTTTACAACTATTAAGTAACATATTTTCCGTAACACATTGGCAGCAGCACATTATCAAAAATCTAAATTACGTTGAAAGATTTTAGAGCTGCACCAGTCAGGTCTGGTCAAAGATCGCCGTGAGACGATTTTCCTGCGATCAGTGATCGTCAAATAATTTCCTAAAATTTTGGATTTCTTTACAACTAGAAAACCCTGTTAGAATTTATTTTCTTCTTCTGCTTGCATTTAAAACTATCTGAAATTCAATATGAAGTTAAGCAATAAACAAATCCCAGTTTAGTTGCTGTTTTTTTTTTTTTTTTTTTTTAAATAGACCTAGCAGAATTCATCCAAACTAAACAGAACCGGTTTGGATCAGACCCTTTCTTACTGCTAATGAAAATTCTTTCTTCCACCTCCACTGCAGATTTCCTGTTGTAAACTTAAGCTATTTTAAATGAACCACAATGACTTCACGATGACGTGCTATCTAGCTAGTCTTAGTCAGAGTACTCCTAACCACAGCCTGTAAACTGACCTTCATGAATAAAATTAGTTAATTGCCCCCTTTATGCATCTGGAAACGATTTCAATGAGTTTCTGGTCTGAAGACAATTTAGCCTGCATTGTGGTGAATTGTGCAGCAGGTTTCTGTTTCAGCCTGCTCACCAGCTGAATTTACACTTCTCCTCCTACCTGCCATGGACTGTTATCACCTTTTTTTTTAAACCCTCATACTTTTATATAATGTCTGAGTCATATAAAGATGCTTAAGGAGTGGGAGACTGGATATGAGTCTTAAAGGCAGATTTTTAATAGAGTACGCGCTGTTATTTACTGCAGTTCAAGATCTGATGTCCCTGTAAGCTGATAATCTTGTGACATGGAGGGGAGGTGATGGACCACCTACACAGAAATACAACTATAATGTATTAAAATAAAAGGTGCATGAGGTTTTCATCATAGTTAATCTTTCTATGTCTGTGCAGAGTTCTTCAGGGAGCTTATAGACCTTTCCGAGAAGTCTATGAACCAGATGTTTACCAAGACCTACGGCCGCCTCTTCACTCAGAACACACATGTCTTCCAGGAGCTGTTCGTGGAGCTTCGGAGATATTATTCCGGTTGGTTTATTCCCTCCTCTATCCACCTGACCCCAGTCTCATATATATTCAGAAGTAATAAAAAAATAAAAATAGCAGCAGAGAGATGTTAATGTTAGCTATAGGCTTACTAAAGATAGTAAGAGGCAATCTGCCGAGCATCTGAAATAATTCATTGTTGAACTGCTGTTTTATTAAATCCTCAGTCTCTGTAGGCAGCAGTAAAGAACCAGATTTGTCTTTTTTTGAAGAGTGCTGGCATGCTGAGTGGAATTTAGAGGAAAAGAAAGGGAGGAAAATTGGATTCCCACAGATGCCAGACTGTTTCTAATTCTGTGCCGTATCGCTCTGTTTTGGCACGACAGACGTTTGCTGGCAAGTCCGTCTGCAGGCTGTCCCTTGCTTAGTCAACCTGTCTTTGTCTGCCAAGTAGCATGTTTGGCTAATTTGAGGCCGTATCCCCGACTGCAGATTGTGCAATCGCAGACTCATTCTGTGCGGAGACCGATAAGTTTCACAGGCAGACAGCATGTGATGCCATATTACAGTCTAGCATTATGGCAGCAAATATTTATGATGTTTTAGCATTTATTTATCATATGGTGAGCTCTGTTTAAATTATGGTTGACTTCCCTTTGCATCACCACAAGAGCAACAATGTGTTCCAGTCTTTTGAAGTCCCGGAGAACTAATTCAGCTCTAAATTAGTTTGTTATTTCAGTTTCAAGTTGCTGACAGTGGATTAATGTGCCTCCCCGACCAAATTAGTCTCAGGTGATATTCCTTATTCTCAATGTTGTGTTATGTGTAGCCCAGCAAAGAGGTACGTGGATAACTTCAAATGTCTCATGACCTTTAGTACACAGACTTAAGATGTTAAATGCAAAAGAAGGAATTAAAAAACATTCGTGAAAATGTTCTCTATAGGTGACCTTTTCGTCTGGTGATGTATTTTCCCCCAATTTTCCTTTACCCTTTTTGTCCTCAGGGGGCAGTGTGAGTTTGACAGAGGTCTTCTCAGACTTCTGGTCCGGACTTGTAGAGCGAGTCTTCTCATTGGTCAACCCCCAATATCAGTTCAGTGATGACTACCTGGAGTGTGTCAGCAAACACACTGAGCAGCTACAGCCGTTTGGAGATGTTCCTCGCAAACTTCGAGTGCAGGTGTGTGTGTGTGTGTATGAAGTACTGGTAGCCCCCTAAAAGTTAGAAACATGTCTTAAGAAAATAAAAGTTGGGTTCTGATTACAATATTTGGTTTGGTTTTCAGGTGTCCAGAGCTTTCATAGGTGCTAGAGCTCTATCTCAGGGCCTGGCTTTTGGTCGGGATATGGTAAATACGGCCAAAAAGGTGAGTGATAGTCCCAGATTAGTTTTCTCTTCCTTCGGCAAGTATAGTGGCACTATGTAATAAAGACACGTAATCTTAATCTGACCATCAAGCCAAAAATGGACTTCATTTCTAATAATAGCCACTTTCTGAAATAGCTTCTTTAAATGCTGTTTAAACTAAAAAGGCCTATTCTCTCAAGAACATTTAAACTAGTAATTTTTGTTTAACTTAAATCATAAGAGCACATGTCAATATTTCAACAAGTGAAACATTAAAAGGAGTTGTGGTTATATGATCATTAAACACGTAGTAAAATGCACAGTCTTAAATGTGTTTTAAAAAACACATTATGGTTCTTCTTTTACACCCATAATGATCGAGGCACATATTGGTAATTTATACTTTATAGCATAAGTAAAATGAAACATTAATGATACTGAACAATAAATGAAACCAACTTGTATGACTAATTGCTGAATGACGGAAGACTGACTTTTATTAATTGTTTTAATTGTAAAAGGCAGGTTTTTCATCCCTTTGGTGATGCAAACCTGCCTTGTTCTCAGCTTGCTCTGTTGACACGGTGTGTTTGTGTTGTTTTTTTGTCCGTTTTCCAGTTGACAGCAGATTCAGAGTGTGTGCGTGGCCTTATGCGTCAGTGGTACTGCCCCCTGTGTCGAGGCTTGCCCTTTCTCCGACCCTGCCACTCGCTGTGCCTTAACGTGATGAAGGGATGCTTAGCCAATCAGGCAGAGCTGGACACAGAGTGGAACAATTTCATAGGTGAATCTGGGGATAAAAAAACAAAAACAAAAAAAAAAACAAACAATCCACACAACATGATGTCCTGGTATTTTTCCAATACAAATATATAAAAAAAGATCCAATGTCATTTTACATTTTGCAGATTTTAACCATAAACTTACGTCATTGCATTTCATTTTCTATTTCTTTTTAGTATAATATCTTTTTGCAAAATAGTCATAACAATGCTAAACGATCACTTATTTTAGATGCACATTATTTTCTGGACACTTCATCAAGCCCTATTTTTATAATGTTGTAGTTCTGAGCTCCATTTGGACCAGGGTGACTCCAATGGAAAACTGTACCACTATTTAAAGAGCAAAGCCCTTCATCAATATTCAGCTTGGTAGAGTGGACAGATCTGTGGAAAGTTCTAGTGGCTCCAACCCTTGATTTCTTTCATTTCCAAATAAGATAGACCAAAGTGCTCTTTGGGATGTTCAGTGCTGACAAATTATCCTTCCCCAGATTTCAGCCTTCACACTATCCAGTCTTGGAGGTCTATAGACAGTTCCTTTGGTTCCATTTGGTTCCATTTGGTTTCTGTTCTGATTTGCATGGTCAGCTGTAAGGCCATGGGCTAGTTTGCTTTAGCCATGTTCAGTAAACTAAGCTGACAAGAGGAGGACTCAAATCCAGTTGATGTTTTAGTGTCTCAGAGGTGATAAGTGGAGATCAGATACACCTTTGTGTATCATCATAAAGGGTAAATCATGTATCTGATTTATTTTGAACATAAACTTACAGAAGTTTCTGAAAACATACATCCATGTTGTGATTATACACTTTTCTGTATTGATCTGAAAAAAGAGAACTATACTTAAATATCTCAATTTAAATAAAAGCTTTAGTAAAGGGGTGAAATTACAAACACCCCAGATTGACTGTATAGCAGCATATTAGTTAAGCTGTAGTTTAGAGAGTTTTTTTTTTCTTAAAGCTAGAACATATTTAATTGTACTTTTTTTTTTTTTTTTACTATTAGTGTCCTTTTTAGATTGAAAGCTGATTAAAGGCAGTAGCTCTCGTCTTTCTATTTTTTGATCTTCAATATTTGGTATGTTGGTGCTACCATAATGTTTTTATTCCATGAATTCATGTCATTAAGCAAGCCGTGCTCTGCTGAACTGTTTGGTTTGCTGATGTCTGACCTCAGCTACATTTTAGTTTCTAGGTGAGGGAGATTATGGATTTCAGCTAAATCGCTCACAACTTAACGTCCTTACAATAGAAAATGTCAGCAGCCAAATTACTTTTGGCAGCTTTTCGATTCATTAACATAATTATACTGGACAGACCAAAAACTAGAGGTCTTTTATTGCTCCTTTGTCACTCATTTATTTTCAATTTCTTATCTCCCTAATAAGTTCCTCCATTAATCATTCATGCCTCTCTGGTCTGTCACAACTGATCTGTCCTGTTGCATTTTCCTTTCCCTTTCATCAAACCCATACATTAGCTTTCATCCTTTATTCTTATTAAAAACCACTCACACTCATTTTAGGTATTCTAAATCACCGCTCACAATCACCAACCTTGTATTTTATATTCTCCTCTTTGTATTATTACAGTTTAATAAAAATTCTCTAAAAGATATGTAAAGTGAACCTTTTGGCCAGTAAAATGTAACTTTTAGTTTCCATCCAGGCCCAGCAAGCCTTTGTCTTAAAATTTATTTGCTCTTACAATATGAGTTACAGAAAACCTATTTTTAGCGTGCGTTAACATATTCTGAACACTTTGCTGTTGTGTCTCACCGCAAACGTTTTCTTCGTCCCTCTCGCTCTTTCTGCCAGATGCTCTCTATGTGGTATCTGAGAAGCTGGAGGGGCCGTTTAACTTTGAGCTTGCAGCCGACTCCATTTCTGTAAAAGTGTCTGAGGCCATTATGCACATGCAGGAGAACAGTGTGAGCATCTCCAGAAAGGTAAGAAGGAGATATCTCAACAGACAATTACATATAAAGATTAGTTAAAACAGAACTGAAGTCATTTATGGGAAGGGTCCTGGGCCTTCTTAGCAAGAGTGGCCCTCCTTTGTTTTCCATAAAAAACGAAGCTTGTATCTGAAATGACATCAATATGACAAACTGAATTGCAAAGTTAGATTTAGTGATAAAACTTTAAGGGAACTATCCATTTTTTTTTCTGCTTCAGGGTACACTGTATGTTTTATTCGAAAAACCTTAAGAAGTTCCAACAGGGCTCAGTGCGCCCAGCAGAGATACTGTGACCCCTTTGATTCCTAATAAACTCGGGTGTAGTGATTCCTGCTTTCCGTGAATTCGTACATGGAGCTCTTGCACAACAAACAAAACATGTGCACATTTTCAGAGTCCATAAACATAATTATCCGGTGTTCTCAGTATTCCAGGTTCAGCTTTAATCTTGTTTAATTGTCTAATCTTCCAAATGGATGTCGGGAAAAAGGGATTTAGAAGCAGAAAATGAGAGCCTCATTTTTTATTTTCATTCCAGACAGCAACCATCTTTTGTGAAATCTTAAGATTTTCTTCTTTAATTTATAATTTATATCTCTGACAATTTGGTGGCATTTAAATATGTTTCAGTACTCTCTGTTTTGTTTATGTGTTTTTGTTTTGATTCTCAGATAAGACTGCAAAGCTTCACTGCTCTCTTTCACTTTTGGGTTTCACCAGGCTTAAAATTGAGCATTTTGGTTTCTCATATTTGCTGTATGTGGGTGTAGTTGAAGGATCAATGTTGCCTCTTGATGAAATTGATGCTTTAGAAATCAGTTTTTGGATGCGAGAGCCCACACAGTTTTTCCTCTTAAGATTTTCAAACATTAAGTTGCTTCTGTTTGGAAGTTGAAGAATTTTGTGTTAAAGGCTTGGGGCCGACTTTTGCAATGATGTAGGAAGCTGCATAGTAACTGCATGAATGCAGAAATGTTATATGTCCTTGTAGCAGTAGGAAATCTGAAAATTACCGTTGCACATACATGTGTCGGATAAATCTTTCCTTGTAGGTGTTTCAAGGTTGTGGGAATCCATCTCCAGCAAGGAACAAACGTTCTCCCAGCGAGTCAGAAGGGAACAGGAAGCCCTTTCGCACCTACACCCCCGAGGAGAAACCCACCACAGCTGCAGGCACCAACCTGGACCGGCTGGTGAGTGGAAAAAATGACAGCAGAGACTAATTGTAGCTTTAATCCTGCTGTTGGCAGCTGAGAATCCTTTGGACATTTCATTATTAGAAACTTTAAGGCAATATACTAGACTTGGCACTCTAACTAATATGCTAAAATCTGTATTGTAATATTTAGTTACACTACTCTTTTTTTAAATTAAAATGGAGCCTTCAGTTTGTACACCTGGAACAGTTTTTATATTTTGCCACATTCAAACCACAGATATCAATATATTTTATTGGCTATTGATATAGACCAACACCAAGTAACACATGAGTGTGAGCTAGAAGAAAAAACGTGGTTTCCGATTATTTTGTGCATACAAACTAAACATTCTGGTGTCCATATTTTTTTCCAGTTCAGTCATCTGCCTTCAGAAGTCATCTACTTAGTAATGAGAGTCCACCTGTTTGTAATTTAATTCATCTCAGTATAAATCCAGCTGCTCTTTGAACACCTCAGAGGTTTGTTAGAGAACATTAGCACCAACAGCACCACGAAGACGAAAGAATGCAACAGGCAGGTCGTGTTAAGTTATGAATCCCTTTCAATGTCTCATCAAGCGCCGTCCAATCCGTCATAGAAAAACATAAACTGTAGGGCAAAACTTTATACCTACCAAAACAGTGCAAAATTGTCAGGCCAGATAAGGAGAGCATTAATCAGGTCCAGCCAAGAGGTCCAGGGTAACTGAGTAGCTCCAAAAAAAA